TACAAGGAAGTCATGTGGTGTATACATCAGACTTTTTTACACGGAGCAGTAGAAGAAACAAAACTGATCGTCGCCTAAAGAGATACGATCCCAGGTAAATGGTCTGGATGCATAGGCGTTTTCGTGGTTTTCTTCATGCGTAACGTGATTATTAGCCGATTTCCCTCAGAAAATCTGCCACGAAGGGATCCCTCATTACGCACTTTAACTGATTTGATAAGTTATTTCATGAAATAACTAGGTGTTCTCTGAAATAACACAATTATGTACTTCAATGGTAACATATATTTATAATCTAAATAATGCTGGCTTTCCTGATAACCTTTATATTGCCAGTAAGTAAGATATTTTTTTTATGAATAAATGTATATATGTATGATGGCCCATTTCACACTGAAATTAAAAATAAGTACTATAAAAAAAATTTTTTTTTAAAGTCAACGCCTACTTAGGCCAACAAAGAAAAATTTTATTTTAATTACTTTTCATTAACATTTTTGCGTTTCTAATTTATGAAGCTGATGGTGGTCTACAATTTCTTATTTATCCCATCTTTTGTGATGCTTCATTATTGAAAGGAACCTTTCCAGCCAGTTTCGAACAGTCCAGTTCTTCAATTAATATTTCATCTAATGATTTCACACGACTCGAGGCGACATATGCTTGACCTGCCAGGAAGAATTTTCTTCCTAGATCGTCCTAGGCATAATCGTGCTAGGCATTTTCGTCCTAGACATAATCTACAGTGCTATTTATTTATTTGAATAAGCAAGGGACATTTTAAAGGTCTATATTTTAAACATCTATTATTATCACGTTAACATAGAAATATGGGGAGAATTTTGGCTACATAATGGGACATTCCATCCGCTTCATCCAACTGTATAAAACTACCATTTTTTTAATTCCATACACTTCAAAAGTCTTTACAACTCTGTCTTACTGTTGCCTTTTATTTTTGTTAAATATTACAATCCCATTGATCACAGTCATGTACTCTTATTTATAAGTTGTTATAAAATTAATTTTTACAGCACGTGATAATTCCTAATAAACGGTCATTGTTTGTAAGTCTTATAGTTAATAAAAACAGCTTACCTGTAGTTCCGATAAACATAAATAAATAACTAGGAATTGACTTTAATACGTGAAAAAACTGTGTTAACGTCCAGTGTCATCCACTGCAAGTTAAAAAAATGTATTTGAACTTGAGTATTGGAATAAAAATATTTTATTAATGATTGAAAATTGGAACAAGATATAGGGAGAGTGTGAGATAATATCACCGATAATTTAATAAATAAATAATCGGTGATAAATGCAGTGGCTTTGTTCAATGATATTTTGGTGTGTGCCGTGAACACACATAGATATTTCTAAAAATGTGCACTAGCTATTAACTAAACGATATTATTTCAGAGTTTATAATGCAACATTTACTAAATAAATTAATACCACTGCCACATTTATTCTTGTTATATTTTAAACTAGCCGCTATGGGCCAGCCTTCGTCTGGCTTTGAAACGTACCGGAAAACAAATGCCCTCTCGACAAACTCGACGAACGTCGTATCCAAGTACCTTTCGACAAACATCCAATATCTAAGAGAAACATTAAATTTAAAAGCTGCACAAAATTATCGCCCTCGTTTTTACGAGTGGCAACAACGCTGATATCTGCAACAATGCAACAGTAATATATCAGCAATTTCTGCAATGCAACAATCAGCAATTGGCTGCGATTTCATCAAAAACATAAAATGAAAAAAAAAAAAAAAAAACTCATTCGAATTTTGAAAAAATCGCTTCCTGTATGCCTCCTGTATCTTCTAGGTGCACTGTCCCCCTATGTACCAAACTTCGTAGCCCTGGGTCTATTAACTTACACACAGCAGGAACGAAAGACACACACACAAACATTTCCTTTTATTATATGCAGACATAACAGTATTGAATTGGGGATTATTCAAGTACTATTTCTCTTTCGTATCCAGTAATCCATGGTAAAGAGATTAGAGGCTACGGATTTTAGGGACGACTGGTTAAAACAATTATTTTAAACAGAATGGGATAGATAAATTTAAAGCAACCCTTACAACCTTTACATACCCTTACATACCTACCTTACATACCTAGTAAATATTTTAAAATTATCTTATTATTAGCCCACAAGTGGCAGAGCGGTAAAGGTCGCTGAACACTAGTAGTTAAGACCTGGATTTTATTCCTAGCTGCAAGGATGTTTTCGTGATTTTCCCCATGTGTAGCGTTTAGAAACGTAGCCAGTTTCCTCTAGAAAGTCCTCCACGAAAGCATCCCTTCCCTTAGGCAGATGGCCCTAACGTACTTTACCGCAGTCTCAATAAACCAAACGAAACTTGATATATCCTTATGAAGTAATTAGGGAATTAATTTTGTTCTGGTTTTAGAGACATTAGGATTTTTGATACTGAGAGACGTGAAAAAAATGAGCAGGAACTCGGACCTCTCAAATGCGTGTCGAATGTGCTCACCTCTACACCACGAGGGCATGCTAAGAAGGCGGGAGAAATACCTTATACTCCCCTTTTTAAAGGGCGACCGGAGATTAGGGGACACAATCGCCGAATCCTGGTGGTAGAGAATCTTCATCCCCCACCTTAATATTTCATTCTGGCGCCCCTGTAGAGACATTAGGTTATTTCGAAGCAGAAGGCATGAAAAATATGCAATGCCTTCGCTGGGACTCGAACCTCTCGAATACGCGCCGAGTGTACTGATCACTACACCACGAGGGCATGCTAAGAAGGCGAAAGGAATACCTTATATGGTAAGCGTTTGATTAAGTCATGTATACAAGATTTCATAAAATATATTTGTCCTCATGTTTACAAAAGTTAATTTATTTACTGAAGATTATTCAGAAAACTGTAGCAAGGACAGTTCAAAGATAGATAGTAAAAATTGTTTAGAGATGAATGATATCCTGAACAGTTCGACGGCTTACTGTTAGAATGTACAGAGAATTTTCTTTTTTCTTGCGACATTCCCTGGTGGTGTAAGCGGAAACAGGTGCAGCTAGCAATCGAAAGATACTGAGGTTGAATACCGATGAGATCACCGCCTGTGAATCCCTACTTCCCGTTTTAGAAACCTAATAGACTCTACAAGTGGCACCCGAACTAAAATATGGAAAACGATAATTCGTCACCATTTCGATTTGGTGACTGGACGCTCTGAATGGGAGAGAATGCAAGAGACTTCCCCTTTGTGATGTAATAATAGATGTTTAATAGTAGTACTTACCTGAAACTGTAGAGATTGTAAAATATTTTCTCCTTCCTTATCGCGTGCTTTCGTGGTGCAGCTAAAAAAGCACATAAGACTAGCAATCGGAAGGTCCAAAGTTCGAGTCCTGGCTAGGGCAGTACATATCTTTTACATTTCATGTTCCAAAAAGATCTGTAGAGACATTAGGTTATTACGAAACAGAAGAGATGAAAACTGAGCAATGCCCTCACCGAGACTCGAACCACGGACCTCTCGAAACGAACCGAGTGTACTAGCCATTACACCACGAAGGCATGCTAAGAAGAGGCGAAGAAATACCTTAGATCCAATGATAGTAAAAGTAACGCCCGAGTAAAAAAAAAAAAAAAAAAAGTCTGAAATGTTTCAAAGATTTTAAATTAATAATAATAAAGGGGCGTTTTTTTAACATTTTGTGTGTTACCTTCATTTATTAAATATCATGTTCTTCGCACTTAAACCATAAAATTCTGCTCAAGGGCAATTATCGCAAAATAATTTTAAAACGAGCCTATCTTTAGAATTCCCGATGCACAGTCTCGCGCGCTGGAGATAAAAATGCTTTTTCTGTACAACGTCGTCATGATTCGCTTTGAAATCCTTGAGTATGTTAATCACAAATTCGTTAAAGTTTTACAAAGTATGAAATCGAGAATAAAACAAATTCCAAATTTCACAAGCCCATATTCGCAGGAGGATTACGTCATTCAAAAATTGGATGGCTCTGACCGTCGTTTTATCATAATGCGAGAAACAAAGATAGATTTATGCAGATTCTTCATTATTTAATTTCTTCAAATATAATACAGGGCAATAATATTGGTGGCAACAGTTTGAAAAGTGAAACGGACATTCAGAGTGATTCATCGCAAAACGAAAACTATAGTCCCTCAGAGACAAAGCACCTTTGGACTAAAAAGGCATCAGACGATAAATCGTCACCACCTTTATTTGACTATGGGTCCCTTCTACCCCCGTCGTCCTTTAAGTGGGAAAGAAGGGTTTTTCTCCGTTCTTTCCCGCTGCCTTCGAGTTGTAAATGAAAAACTTCTCTCTAGCTAACAGTCGGTAGGCCTGCAGTTCGAAACATTGCTCATTTTTCACGTTTCCTGCTTCAAAAATCCTAGTGACTCTTCTAATATATGTCGAAAATTTAAAAATTACATTCTACAAATGAAAATAAAAAATTTAAATTATATTAAACAGTTTTTTGCCAATTCGGAAGCGGACGTATTCACAACAAAAGGTACATTGGATTCGAAAATGGATAAGAAAAGTACACGAAATGCATTTCGTCTTTTACTTTCAGCGTTTTATGTACTTTCATCTTCTAAATAAGAGAAAATAAAAACAAAAAGCAGTAATTCAGAAAACTTCGTTTTGAAGTTTTGCAACATGGATATGAAATTTTGCAATCTAATCCTTAAACTTCGCTTAAAAAACACACTTCAGCCGCATTCCACTTAGCAATAACAATGTCAGACGGAAGGGGAAAAAAAAGTTTCCGTCTTATAAAAATCTTACTTAACACCTTTAGAACAATCACAATCGAAAGACCGGTAGAAAAACACCGCACTAACCAAGCCCTGAACCAATACGGTGATGAAGAAAAAAAAAAAATGAGGGTTCTGGCAACATAGTTTAGTATATTATCTCGTTAGGCAAGGGATAGGCGACCGACAAAGGCCCGTTCCAAATACCCGCGAGACACGAAAACACACATAAGTTGACAATCCCGAATTGAGGTTGTTGAAAATGGGTATTGTGTATATATAAGCAATCGTCGAATGAGCACCCTAGTCGCTTGTTTACATTCGGTGCATTCCGGATAAAACACACACTTTTAATTCCTTATTAGGGATTGCTGTTCAATTACAATGAAATTGGTAAGTGCATTTTTGTTACCCAAATAATGATCTAAAAGTCCTAAAGTGAGATAACTATGAAAACGTTCTGATATTCCAATATTCATTTTTAACTGCTTAGAAATGATTTAAATATTATTTTATTGAATCACTTTTGATTTAATTTAGCTTGCTATTAAATTTTGTTACGTTTTTTGTTACGCAAATAATGATCACTTATAAAAGTCCTAAAGCTGATAGGCATGAAAAGGTTCTGATATTCCAATATTCATTTTTAACAGCTTAGAAATGATTTAAATATTATTTTATTGAATCATTTTTGATTTAATTTAGTTTGCTATTAAATTTTGTTACTTTTTTTTTTGTTACCCAAATAATGATCACTTATAAAAGTCCTAAAGCTGATAGGCATGAAAAGGTTCTGATATTCCAATATTCATTTTTAACAGCTTAGAAATTATTTAAATATTACTTTATTGAATCATTTTTGATTTAATTTAGCTTGCTATTAAATTTCGTTAAAGATATAGAACAGTGCCTATATTACATTATATTATTTTGATCAAATGTATCATATATATATATGTAAGAACAAATAGTAAAGTTAAATTAAGTTTAGGCTCGCCAGCGGCCGAGCGGTAAAGACGCTGAACACTGGTAGTTCGGTCTGAGGTTCGAATCCCGCGAACGGGCTGGCTGCATGGGCGTTTTCGTGGTTTTCCCCATGTGTAACGTGTATGCGAGCCAGTTTCGCTTAGAAAGTCCTCCACGAAAGGCATCCCTCCATTTAGGCAGATAGCCCTCGTGTGCTTTGCCATAATTAAATACACCAACACCAACTAAATTAAGTTTAAACAATTCTATTGCGCCATTGCTGCAAGGAATGAAATTTGAATTTAACAAATTTTCTCATTCGTAAAAAGCTAAATTTTAAACTATGAAAATTTAATTTTATACAAATAAAAGATTGATTTTTGCAGCGAACTAATTTGTAATATTTCAATTCAGAGAGCATATGTAAATTAAGTGCAAGTATCTAAAACCATGAAAAAATATTTAATTATCCGAAAAATTAATCCTAAAAATTTAAAGAATGAGTGAATAATTGTTGAGTAGGCAGGTGACAGATCTTTTCAATGGGAAGTTGCCTTCAAACCTTAATTTTCAATTACTCAATTCGTGTTTTGTCATCCGTATAGGCATGGGTAAAGTATTATTCAAAAACCAAAACTAAAACCTAAATTTAGAACCAAAAGTAAAATTTAAATTTAGTGAATTGCTTGGTTTCTAAATTACTTTAGATTTAAACTCTTAATTAAATTAGCAATGTATTTTTAATTAATAATTTTGTTTTTTAGTCGCTTACTAAATTTTTCAAAATTCTTTAATAGTTAAAATTTCTTGTTTAAACAATTGACTAAATTTGGTTTTGGTTTTGTATAATACTTTACCCATACCTATACGGATGACGAAACACGAATTGAGTAATTGAAAATTAAGGTTTGGAGGCAACTTCCCCTTGAAAAGATGCGTCTCCTGCCTCCTCAACAATTATTCACTTTATGCAAATTAATTTAGTCTTAGAAATTCTTTAAATTTTTAGGAATAATTTTTTTCAACTAAAACTTTTTTCACGGTTTTAGATACTTGCACTTGATTAACACATGCTGTCTGAATTTAAATGATATTGCAAATTAGTTCGCAGCAATAATTAATCTTTTTATTTGTACAGAATTAAGTTTTCCTAATTTAAATTTAAATACTTTATACAAAATGAGAAAATTTAATTCCGAAAATTGTTTTTTAAAAAGGAACTTGAATGTAAATCATGAAAAAAAAACATTTTTAAGGGGACTTGAATTTAAATCACGAATAACAAAATTTCAAACTTTGAAAACGAAATTAAAAAATTAAAACTAAGTAATTATCGCTATTGATCGGAAATTAGTTGACTTTTCAAGGGAAACAAACCAACTCCCGTTCAATGAACAATAATAAATGCGAAGGTGTTTCGTCTTTTACTCAAGTAAGTATGATGATGCCAAACTGGCAAATTAAGTTATGCCAAAATTGTAGTTCCGTGAAGATATATATATATATATATGTATAAGAGTTTCAACACAATATCCAAACATATTAAACTAAGAATTCATAGTAGCACATTTTATATTTTTATCATGTTGTATTTTTTTCCCTTTTGCATTCTCATTTTTATTTTTAGACTTTGTTCCACTATGAATTCTGATTTTAACTTTGATATGTATGGATATTGTGTTGAACCTCTTACACACAATTGCTATTATTGATACTGTTGAGGAATAACCTTGTTTTGACTCTAATTTACTTTTAGTTTTAGATTCTTCATGTCTTTATATATAAACATAAAGCATCTAAATTAATTAGTAAACTGGAATAAAAGCAAGGCAATTCCTTTATAATATAATAATTGCAATCGTGTATAAGAAGTTTAACACAATACCAAAGCTTATCTAATTAAAGAGAGAATTCATAGTAGAACGATCTCGAAAAATAAAAATGCGAAAGGGAAAATATACTGTGTGTGTGTGTGATTATGGCAAAGCCTCGGGGGCTATCTGCTTAAGAGGAGGGATGCCTTCGTGGAGGACTTTCTAAGGGAAACTGGCTCGTATACACGTTACACATGGGGAAAACCACGAAAACGCCCATGCAGCCAGCCCGTTCGCGGGATTCGAACCTCGGACCGAACTACCAGTGTTTAGCGACTTTACCGCACGGCCGCTGGTGGGCCGAAAGGAAAAATATACAAAACTATACAAAGAAAAATTAATCTCCTTTTATTGAAACTCTAATTTAAAACTCATCAGGAGAAAATGAATTAAAGTTTCATAAGAGTCGATTAATATGTTTCGTTGTCCTGGTCCAGTTGAGATCAAAAGCCGTAAAAATCTTTCATCATATTTTTATTAAATACTAAAATTCATATAAAACCGGAAACTCGAATCCCAAATGTACCAGAATTTTCCCTACACATTTTCTCTAATTTCCCTAATTTTTCGAAACACTTGGAAAGAAGAATAAAACAATACATAGTGCCAAAATGACAATAAAAAATTTTTTATTCTATTCTAATTTCCTATATTTCTATAAAAAATTTATCTATATTAAAGTTTCATTCTAATTTTTTAAATCGAATTTTTAGTCTATTTATATATTTCTTTTTATACCATATATATATATATATAAAGTTAACAAAGATACGTATCTGATAAATGTGATCCATAAACGATATAAGAATTACACAATTATAATTACCTGTACGAATATAAGTTACTCATGTCGTAAAATTCTGCTTATCTAATATTTTATTTCATAATTTGGTCATCGTGTGAATAACAAATATTTACTATAGTTCTGAATATGAGTCGACCTGAAACACTGTTGATATTTCTTTTCTCTTTTTTTTCAGTTGCCAACAAATTATTTGAATTTTTAATTCTTCCATTGCCTAGAAGTTACTATATAAAAAAATCTGAAATTTTTCAGATTTTATATTACGTCCAAAGGGGTGGCTTTTTTAACATTTTGTGTGTTATCTTCATTTATTAAATGTCACGTTCTTCGCAATTAAACCATAAAATTCAATTCAACAGCAATATGGCAAAATAATTCACAAACACCATATCTTTAGAATTTCCGACACACAGTCTCGCGAGCTGGAGATAAAAATGTTTTTTCTTTGATCTAGTGTTGCCATTACTCGCTTTGAAATTGTTGAGTTTCTTAACAAAAACTCATAAATGCTTTACAAAATACGAAATAGTTATTAAAGCAAATTCCAAATTCGGGATTCCAGACGACCATATTCGGGTGGAGACGTACATTGTTCAAAACTGGATGGGTCTAGGTACCGTTTCCTTTTAATAATTAATTATAAAATAATCTCAAAAACGAAAAGATAAAATTTTACGAAAGTCGAAAGCAAACACAAAAATCTCTTAATTTGTTTATTTACGTCATTCTTCGAAATACGATAATTAATTTAATGAGATACATTGCGCAAGAGAAGAAGAGGAAGAATGACTTTGCTTGTTTGCATTAGCTGTACATAAGTCACGTGATCTCTGAGGTCATCTGCATTGTTTGTTTACAAAAGGTATACATAAGTCACGTGATCTATGAGGTCAGCGGAATGTATCTCATTGTGAATCGAAATATTTTGAATTCTAAAGGACAACAATGCGTGCGAAAAATATACACATCCGTAAGAAAGAGACCGATACATCGTATGATAAATCGTAAAATAACTATTTGCCTACTCTTACAGTTCCTGCTCGTCTTTCTTGCCTCTTTGGTCTGCGTCTACTCACAACATGGGCTCGGTCATCACGGGCTCGGTCACCACTACGCAAACCATGGAGGTCACGAATACCTAGAATCTGGTCACGGAGCTCACGGACACGGTCATCATGCGGCTCTGGAAGAACATGGTGATCAAGGATACGCCAAACATGGGCATCATGATGAAGGCGCTCACAAGGCTTATGGATCCAAGCTTGCTCATCATGACGCACATCATAAACACCACGATAAGGGATATTACGAAAGAAATAAGGGATTTGGCTACGAAAAGGTAAGTCTAATGTTTAGGTAGCCGAGATCGAGAGACGACAAAAATATTTCTAATACATATATGGTTTATGCTTACAAAGGAATGAGTTACTTCTTCTTTGAATTTATTCCTTATATGTAATTAAAAATGAACACTGCGAAAAAAGGGGGAACAGTTCTATATCTCCCGTTCTACTGGGCCGATTAACGAAATTCATATCGTGTTTTTCATGTCTCGAAAGCGCGACTTACGATATGTATTAGACTTATATATATCAGTATTCTAATATAGGTAATTTGACACAAAATAGAATTTTTCCTGAAATGGCAGGGCTATTTTTTTTCCATATTTCAATTATACGACTCAAAGTATACCAAACTGCCAAGTTTTGTAAAAGTCGCACGAGTAGGTTTTAGAAAATGAGCTCTCAAAATTTTAGCTTCTCCATGTTAATTGAATTTGGTATATATTTATTAATCTCTCTTTTCTTATTAAATTTATATGATTCTTCTTTTCACATTGCGAAATTTAGGTTCATTCTAAATAACATTCACCCATTTTTTATGACTTATTTCCAAAATTTATATTTTTAAATAATTTTTATGAAATTTTCGAAAAAGAAATTTGAATTATAATTTATAAAATATTTACCATCATCTTAAAGTAGATATATTTCTAAGCCTACCTGCAAAAAATTAGAGTTTTTTATTCAAAATTTCCGAAGACATATGTGAATTTATATACTGTCCCGTTTTGAAATATGGCATATTTGTTGAAAGCGATAGTAACATCAAATGTGGTTTAGGCACTTTGTTAAAATTATTTGAAAGTAGAAACGGTGCGACTTTTTTCCGCTCATGTGCAATGCAAAAGGGGAAAGGAATTAAAAAAGGTAAAGAAAAATTAAGAAGTTCGCCAAGTGAATTATTCTTGTCGCAAACTGAAAAAAAAAATGCGCTAAGATAAATTTTTGAGTTTACGTAAATTTTGCACCAAATTTTACAATCGTAGAATCGAAATGCGCAAAAATTGACATGTCATTTCAGAAAAAGTACGATTTTGTGTTAAAATACCTATATTAGAACAATGCTTTATATAAATCTAATAAATATCCTAAGTCGTGCTTTCGAGACATGAAAAGTGCAATTGAAATTTCGTCAATCGGCCCAGTAGGACGGGAGATATAAAACTCTCCCCCCTTTTCACCCCCGCAGTGTACATATTTACGATATACAATTACTTGTTATGAAGAAAACCTCCAAATTAAACGACAATGAATAAAAGATTCTTGAGGTTTTTTTTACGTCTTCAATGTATATGCATATTTAATGGCTGATATATTAATATACGTATGTCTACGTAACATTTTCCGCACAGTTAGTGGACTGGAGCTTGTCTCCTGTCCAGCCTTTCTTATCTTATCTAATCATTATATCTTATCTCGTTCATTTTCGCTTTTGCAGCTGAGGATGATGGTTCGGTAAAACCATCGAAACTAGTCCTGTGAAAATTTAAAAATATAACTCTGATTTTTGTTGTTTGACTTCTAAATTAATATTTGGAGACGTTATTCAAATTTATTCATTTGAATTCGAAAAATACATGGAAATTTTAACCGGCAACTTTACAAGATGGATATACTAACATCGTTAATACTTTCATTTTTTTGCGACTGCGATTTGTAACAAATCTTAAATATTCCTTAATTATTTTTTCCAGATAGAAATTCCTACATTTATTAAAATTATTAGTCTGCCCCCAAAGTCCTCACATTTGCCGCCTCACATTTTACCTCGAACTGATTATTAGCGAAAGCGGTTTTAGGTTGGTTGCATGTCGTTTATTTATTAACTTGTTTCCATCAGAAAAGAGATTTCCCGTCTCCTATAGACCAAAAATAAATTTTTAGCCTTGCAAAATATTTTCACAAGCATGCTTTTATCTTCGTTTGTCATTCTATCATGCCTTGTCAACTGCCGCCATTGGTGTGATTTTGAATTAGTCTCTATTCCAATTGTTTATGCATATGTTTACACTAATGCATGATTTCACGATTTTTCAAATGTTACGTAATCTTTGAATATTTTGAAATTCCATTACAGTGAAAAATTGATATTATAATATAACTTATCTTGATTTTATGAAAAAGGGTTTAAAAATTCATTCTTAAAATGGTAATCTCAGTTTTGGTTCCTGTTATCGGTTTGAGAAATCCAATACCTTAACAGAATTACAGCAGTGGCGTTCAGACAAACTGCTCTTATTTTTTATTATAAAATTGTTTAATCTATGTCATCCTATAAAGAATTGGATTACCTTAGGTGTTTTATTTAAAAGGGGACTCATACATCTTAAAACCCTTAAGATCTCCGATGTGTCTGTTGCAAGAATTGGGATATTTTATTTATTTTAAAAGCAATGACTTCCAACCTTTTACAGCTGACTACATAATAATATAGCTGCTTTCTGAACTAGTAACCAGAAATTTTCGTTGCCACAATTATTTTTATAATTTTATTTGCTTTGTGATAAAATTTTTTTATATGTTCACTTCATGTTCCCACCTAGCACGCACAGTTTAAAACATTTTGTCGCATAATTTAATTCCATATTTAATATATAGCTTTCATAACATTTGAAAACTACTGTGAACCAAAAATCCTGAGAATTCCATGTTAAATTTTTATTTTATTTGGAGTTTATAATATTTTATTAAAAATGTGTAATGTTTTCGTGCATAAATTTTTTTGTATATTAAAATATTCATCAGATTTTTGGTTCAGTTAGAAGATAGTGCCCATATAAAGAATTCTATTTAACTATGTATCATTAGCCATTTTTAAAATATCATGCGAGCAAGGCGGAAACATGACGTGAACGCATAAAAAATTTTGTCACAAAGCAGATTAAATTATAAAAATATTTGTGGCAACACAAACTTTCTGGTTACTAGTTCCCAAAGCAGCTATATTATGTAATGATCTGTAAAGCTTTGGAAGTAATTGCTTTTAAAATAATTAAAATAAAATATCCCACTTCTTACAACAGTCACATATTCGAAGATCTTAAGGGTTTTAAGGTGTAAGAGTCCCCTTTTAATCCGAAAAGCCGATCAAGTTAAAAAAAGTTACTCATTTTTTCGCATTAGATATTGTCACGTCAGTTCTGCTTCTAGGGGAAAAAGCATTGGTAATCTTAATAACTTATATTGCAAAATACTACGTTTTAAGTGACAGTTTATTCTTATCCATTATGTTTATAAGCCGTAATAAATCTAGAGATTCGATTTCCACTCGAAGAGTAACAATTTGTTGGTTACCATTGTCTTGCATTAATGGTCTGCATTTAGAAGACAAATGCATCCCATAATGCAAGAACAGTGAATGAATTCTCGAGGATTACAATGCGATTCGGATGTTTGCATAAATTATGATTAAAAAATATACTAGACCACATCTTTTTAATCTTCCCATGGTTAGAGTAGACTGAAGTGCACCCCTTGTATTATCGCGAAGTTGCTCTTCATTTATCGCTAAATTGTTGTTTCTTTTATCGCCAAGCTGTCGTTTCACTTACGGTAACCTGAGTAGTTGAATGGTCCGTAAATATACTTTTACCTAGAATTGGGTGCTCCTTTAACTTTTCAAGTGACCATATATCGATGTGTACATGGAGAAAGTCAAGGGAGTGCGCAATGTCTAGTTTGTGCGATTCTGTGATTTTGTTTTGAGTGAAAATATATGAATGCGTACACTGATTCCGAGTTTGCGCAATTCTTTGACTTGCTATTTTATCTTTGTGTTGCGACGATTTTTGGCACTAAAATTGCCGCTACACAAAGCCAAAATAACAAGTCAAAGAACTGCGCAAACTCGGTATCCATGTACCCCCAAAAATCGCCAATTTTCGCCAAGGGGTACGAGTAAATATGCTTATATCCTTCCCATCAACTACATGCAGGTTTCTGTTCAAATGATCTTTTAATTAACTGTCAAATTTTTAATCATTTCAGGCCTATGCTTACGACAAAATTAAAAGCCACCACGATAAAGGCTCCTCCAGTGCTTCTCATGGCTATCATCATGCACACCACGGCAACGAGGGCCATCACAAATTGATCGACGATCACGCTCACGGATATTCCAAATATGGCAAAAACAGCCAGCATGGAGGTCACAGCTACGGCAAGCATGGAAATCTCTTGAGCAATCACGGAGCTTACCATCGTAGCTACGATACTAGGGGGCATCATGTACCGCTACCCATCGTGGCATCTCACAGCTATGAACATGCAGTGCCAATCATCCACAAGGGACCCATTTATGCAGGACATCATGGCTACATTCATTAAAACCGTAAGTTTCTGCTACGAATGTGTCCAGTATTCCAGACATGTTCGTAACCATTCTGGGAAATTCAGGCAGTTTTCAAAAAATGCAAAATACTATTTAACTTTCAGCACATATGAAAGGAATAAATCACTGTACATCGTAAAGAAGACATGAAATTCTCTTACGATTTTAAACAAGGCGCCCATTATTTGCAATCTGAGGAGCGTTGGTACGATTAACTATCAGCTTAATGGTAAAATTGTAAATGTCCATTGATTTAGAAGTGCATATTCAGAACCATAACAGGTTTGCACGGAAGAAAATAATAAATTCATTTTGGAACATTGTTTAGAAACTATATACATTTAACGTACATAAAAATTAATTTACTTTGTAACTAATTTAAAAAATTTGCTTGCACTAAAAGCACGCTCGGAGAGTCTTAAAAGTGAATTACCTAAATATATTGCAAAAGATGAGAAAATTTGTGACGTGTTTCACCTATTTTTTTTTAGGCTAAAAGTAGTGCGCACGGAAACTGAAAGCAAATGCTGAGTTGCTATCTTTTAGAACATACTTTCTGGAGACGGAAATACGAACCATAAGGATTCCGTGTTAAATATCGTGTGCATCGTCGCGTTAAATATCGTAAATTTCCGTGTTAAATATCGCACGACGTGAAACAAAACGTAGTTCTCCTCGATATTATTTAGCTGCCTGTCGCCACTGCTAATAAGTAGGGCGAACCAAAAGTCGCATATATCAAAATTTCAAAAATTATAGAAATTTAAAATGGGTATTAAAATTACGAATTGTTTCAATGAATTGCATCTCTATGACGTTACAAAGTATATATATGTCTCGAAATATTAGTTGCAGTTATAAGGTATTTCTCACCGCTTCTTGACATGCCTTCGTGGTGGGGTGGTCTGCACACTTGGCGCGTAGTCCATAGGTCTGTGGTTCGATTCCCGGCGAAGGAGTTGCTCATTTTTCAAAAATGTGCTGCTTCCAAAAAAAAATACCTAATGCCTCTACATTTGGCGCCTGAACTAAAAGGATGGTGGATGATGATTCTGCACACCCAGGATTTGGTGATTGGATCCCCTGGTCCCCAATCGCCTTTTAAAAGAGGGAGCATGAGATATTTTCTCCCTCCTTTCTGCACACATTCGTGGCGTAACGGTTAACACCTTCGCCGCGCGTTCGAGAGGTCCAGGTTCGGGTCCCCGCGGCACTATTGCTCGTTTTCCATCTCTCCTGCTTCGAAAATAACCTACGAAATGACTCTACAGCGTGTGAATCCCATTTTACTTGAAACTTTCCACTTCTGGCTCTCTTTTATTATGCAAGAAAGCCAGTGAAGTTTTACAGATTGGCAGAATCTTTAAATGGAAGAAAAAGCATTGTTTTCCGAATCTCTGAAAATGGATATTTCATTTCTCTAAAATGAAAATGAATCTAGTGTGGAAATTTGCCCGTTTTTAAACGTTTAAAATATATATCTATATGTATATATATAAGCGAAACACTACCAACTCATCACAAGGTCTCCGAAACTATACACTCGATTGACTTGAAATTTTGCTAGTTACTCATTCCACGATGTAGACGCGCACTAAGAACGGATTTTACGTAAATACTGTGCAAAATGGATTTTTTTTTATATAATAGAAGTTTCTCAAACATTTGGTTTTACAATCCAAGTTCAGAATTTACTTTTAGTGTTGCCAAAACTAGATACGAATGATGCCAATGAATGAATTTTCATTTAAAATTATTAAATGGGTCAATAACTTGCATCTATCCAATGAATAGAAACAACATTTAAATGATAAGGTTCATAATAACATTTATATTTAACTGTTTTCATAAGTTTCATGAAAATAAATGTTATTATTAAGAGAAATAAATTGTTGCGATGAAATATAAAAATGTTGCTGTTATTTATAAAAACTGCCGTACATAAAAAATCAAGGACAATAATTATAATTGATTAAAAAATTGAATGATTATAATTGATTAAAAAATTTTATAACAAACGTAATAACATTTATTTTCATGAAACTTATGATAACAGTTAAATATATATAAGCCTTAGTTTTATGTTGCCAATTTTTCGTGTTGTAGGCCTAGTGGGAATCCCGAAACGTTAAATAATGTGGACCCCTTCCAATACACAGTACCTCATGGGTGATGTGGAAATCTGTGTATTAGAAATTCACAGACTAGCACTATATTTCCGGATTTAAAAAAATGTACATTAATTATCAGATCGAAATTAGACTTTTCGTCCATATAAGAAGTCTACGTTCACATTCAAATAGATAGTGTGGCCAGCAAAGCGAGCAGGTATCAGCTACTATTTTAATATGAACGTTTAAAATATTTGTTTTAAACACCTCTCGCGATATGAATTTATACAGAACTCATCTTTAGTTTCAACTGGGAATGAAACTACTCGACAGAGGCATTTTCAAATTAACATTGTTCGTAGCGTAAGCTGCTATGCGTCTCTTGCATTTAAAACCTCACGCCACTTAAGCCTAAAATTTATTATTGTATTTACCTAAACCTTCATTGTTGTAATATCACAAAAGAAAGAGAAAAAACAACAATTCTCTCAATCTGATTTATAACTAGTTTCCTTGACCTTTATTCTGCAATGTCTTGGACATAAGTGGTACACGGACAAACGGATAAAGATCCCATGTTTGTGTTCACGGTTCCGCAGTTTTATATGCGTACAGCAGCAACATCCAAAAGAATGGTTTAATTTATATTTCGAGCACTCCCGTCTATTCAGAGCTCACTACATTCCTGTCTCGATACCAATGAGGTAAATGCAGATTCGTGTCAGAGGTTTTGTGTTTAATAGCCTTAACTAGCTCTTATTCAATACTAAACGGGAAAATAAAATAGATTCTTTTTAAATTGCAAGGAAATAAAAAAAAATATGAAAGAAGTTCGAGTTTAATACAAAAAATAAATAAATAAATAAATAAATAAATAAAGGTTTCAGATTTTAAATTACGTGCAAAGGGGCATTTTTTTTAACATTTTTTGCGTCGCATTTATTAATTAAATATCATGTTCTTCGCTCTTAAACCATAAAATTCAATTCAACAGCAATATAACAAAATAATTTTAAGTTGAGCGTATCTTTAGAACTTACGATACACAGTCTCGCGCGCTGGAGATAAAAATGTTTTATTTTTCGCTACAGTGTTGCCATGGCTCGCTTTAAAATCGTTGAGTTTGTTAATCAAAAATTCGTTAAAGTGTTACGAAAGCAACCATAGCAACCATATTTGTTTACATTTGAAAGTTAGCAGAATAGTGAATTAAGTCTTTCTGCACCTTCAGTGCCTTTTTGCCGAATGGGACCAAAAGCAAACTTAGTTTTGTGCACCGAAAAATCTGCTTTCTTGCCAGCTGGCCGAAGTGCTTGTTTTTGCATAGAAACTTTTTTTTTTAATTGTTTTAACTGTATTTGGTGTTTTATGTTTTTTTTATATCTTTCAATTTTTAATGAAAATATTTTGAGTTTTAATGTATTTTTTCCTTACCTCAAATTAAGAACTGAATTAATAGAATGAGAATTCTACCTCTATTGAAATTCGACGAAATAAGTTTAAATGAAATGCAGGAAAAATGCTTATAATTTGCAAGGATGTCATGCGGTGTACATATCAGCTTTTTCCCCTAAACCGTACTGTTAAGCTTTATACGAAATTCACAACATGTTTTCCTTGAGTACTTACTTACTACACTTTTGATTACAAGCACTTTACTATAGTCTCATTAACTACTTTAATCGTCTTTGCTATTACGAAGTAATTAGCATGGTAATTAGTATTAGTGATTAGTGGGGTATAGTAAAATTAGTATTCAATATATAATTGAAAACAGAAGTAAAATATCCACATTTATCAGGAAAATTATAGGTATGTTGAGCCTCCTATTACCGAGTCGAAATTTTTCAACAATCAATCGTTAGGAATAGTTATTTATTGCTAAATAATTTAAGATATTCTTTTTTAGATCTATTTATCATAGTTCAAAATATTTATTTGGATATTAAAATGCAAATACATTTTTAAATACTACATAAATAAAATTACATTTTTAAATACATTGTTCCTTTTTTCAGATACTACATTTGTTTCTTCATCATGACGGTTTCATTAGCATGCTACTCTGCCTTGAAAATGAGGTACAGAAAAGTGGACATCGATATTAAAAATTTCAGGAAAGGAAGACTTCAATTCAATTCTAATTTATTTGAAGAATTTTTTGAAGCTCCTGGCAAAAAATTTTTGATAACAAGCTTATAATTTTATAAAAGTTAAAAGTGTCATATTTTTAAAATCCTCATCAGTCTCACTTTGTATTTTACTTACGGGTTGTCTAGCCTAAAAATGGTGTATAGTATCGTATTTATTACCAATCTTTGGTTGGTTTTAGCTGGGTGTAAATTGCATACCTGTTGATGAGTTTGTTACTTTTGTAAAATAAAGAGTTGAAAGAATTGATTGAATTTTCCTGCGTTCAGATAAATACACTCAGTCAAATGTTTAAAATTCTACTCTTAAGAATTTTCTCACGATAAAATAAACACACATAGTAAATTCACATAGGATTCCATAAGGGACTAAATTTTCAGGAATAAATAATGACGTTCAAGAATAGAATAAAAAACAAGATTTAAAAAATCTGATATCCTTCAGATGTTACATTACGCCCAAAGGGGCATTTTATTAACGTTTTGTGAGTTAGCTTTATTTATTAAATATCATGTTCTTCACACTTAAACCATAAAATTCAGTTCTACAGCAATATGGCAAATTAATTTTTAAATGAGCATATTTTTAGAATTTTCGGGCACAGTCTCATGCGCTGGAGACAAAAATGTTTTTTTTTACCCGTACAGCTTTACAATTGCTCACTTTCAGATCCTTGAGTTTGTTAATCAAAATTCGTTAAAAGTTTACAAAATATAAAATTGATAATAATCAAACTCCAAACTAGGGCTTCCAGATGCCCATATTCGGGTGAAAACGTACGTTATTCAAAATTGGATAGCTCTAGGTACCATGGTCTTATCACAATGCGAAAAACTTACATAAATTTATGCCAATTCTTCATTATTCAATTTCTTTAAATAGAATGCAGAGCGATAATATTTGGTGGCAAAAATTTTAAAAGTGAACCCACATTTCAAATTTTCAACGCAAAATGCCAAAACGAAATTAATAGCCCTTCTGGGCTAACGCCTTTTGGGCTAATAATGAACGATATGATTTCCAAGAATAAATAATTTTCATAATAAAATATCCTAATAAACACCATTTTTAAACATTAAACCCCCCAAAAATTAAATACGAATACAAAATTTTCTTGCAAACAAGTAGATAAAAAAATAACTGCATCATAAATTTACGGATATTATTTATTAAACTTCTTCAATAAGGATTGTTTAGCCTAAGAAACAACTTTTCCGTACATTGTTGGCATTCCTCGTTTTGAAATCGTTGAGTTTTTTAATCTAAAATTCTTTAATGTCTGATAAAATATGAAATACATAATAAAACAGATTCCAAGATATCGTGTGCATCGTGGCTTCCAGATGTCCATATTCGGTGGAGGATTACGTTATTCAAAATGGCATGGGCTCTAGGTATCGTTGTTTTATCACAATGTGAGACACATACCTACATTTATGCAGATTCCTCATTATTAAATTTATTTAAATATAATGCAGTGCTATAGTATTTGTGGCAACAGTTTGAAAAGTGAATCAATGCAGAAAGTGAATCGACGCAAAATGCCAAAACGAAATTAATAGCCCTTCTGGGCTAATAATGGAATTAAACAATGCAGCTTTTCTTGAATTACATTAAGCGTTAATACAAAATTAATAGCCCTTCTGGGCTAATAATGGAATTAAACTATGCAGCTTTTCTTGAATTACATTAAGCGTTAATACAAAATTAATAGCCCTTCTGGGCTAATAATGGAATTAAACTATGCAGCTTTTCTTGAATTACATTAAGCGTTAATACAAAATTAATAGCCCTTCTGGGCTAATAATGGAATTAAACTATGCAGCTTTTCTTGAATTACATTAAGCGTTAATACAAAATTAATAGCCCTTCTGGGCTAATAATGGAATTAAACTATGCAGCTTTTCTTGAATTACATTAAGCGTTAATACAAAAACGCATTCGTCATTTTTGACGTTCTAAAATTTAACTAACTTGTAAGGAGCCTAAGTTTTACTAACGTTTATTTTATTTTAAAACTGTACTATCACTTCTTATTTTCTACTTCCGGCCAGAATTAAACGCTTTAACTTATTTATGCAAATTGTCTTGCTAACGCCAAGTACTTAAGTTGTGGCTTTTTGCCAAGCAAGAGAGAGCAAGGAGTTATTGGAAGCAAGCCGCTTGCCACTGTAGTTTTACGAGTTTTCACTCTGTTGCTGGTTGCCTTCAAGGCCAGAGGTTTAGCCCTCTTGATAATTGCAGACGTATCGTAGTTTTAGCAGCTCGGCGTACTACATACGTACCTTTCTTTAAATAAAGGCCAATCTTAGTGCTAGGCACTTGTATACTAATTCAAAGTTAGTTTTAGTTAGTAGTTTTTATATTCTTACGTTCAGACCACAAGCGGTTGGTCTCTGTATTCCGAAGTTTCGGAAATTCCTGTAAAGTATAGAAAATAAAGGGTTTCGTATATCCTTCCTGCTTGTATTGTCTACTTCACACATTCTTGAACATAGCTTGAGTAAGCTCCCTGTTCCTATTCAGGACCAGTCATGTTTCCAAAGCAAATCAAAGAAACACTAGTCCTGATAAACTTCCAAAATCCTGATAAACAGGCAAATTTATAAAATGTAATAAATAACATTTCAATATAATACTAATTTTAGTATAAATTTGGCAGTTAATTTTTAAATATCAGACACCATCTTACTAAATATTTCTACATTCTTTAATAAATCACAAAAGAAAGGTTTCCTTTGTAATTAAATTGAGAAAAACAACAAAACTCATATTCGCAGATTCTCTTACAGAAGTACTTTAACAGAAGTTCGTTTGCGTTTCATGGAAACGATTTTCTATTTAAATTTTCTCGTTAGAATTTTAGGACAAAGCTTTGGTGTTTTCATAGCAGTCGTCTGCTTCTCTTTTGTTTCGACTGGTATGCAGAAGATTTATATTCGAAATAGCTCCTAAAACTGTCAGCTAGAATGTAACGTAAAAATTATTCCCATCAACAAATTGGAAAAGTCGTATAAAAATCGAGGTTATTGCATTTCAAAGAAAGATATTTTTAGACCAGAGAGGCTATTAATTTCGTTTTAGCGCTTTACATCGAAAACTTTAAATGCCCGTTTCACTTTTCAAATTGTTGCCACTAAATGTTATCCTCCTATATTAATATATCCTGTAATATATATTATCCTGTAAGTAAATTAAATAACGAAGAATCTGCATAAATGTATGTAAGTTACTCGAATAGTGATAAAATGACGCTACCTAGAGCCATCAAAGTTTGAATAACGCAATCCTCCACCGAATATCGGCAATTGAAAGACCTAATTTAGAATTTGTTTTATAATCGATTTCATATTTTGTAACACTTTAGCGAATTTTTGATTAACAAACTCAACGATTTCAAAAAGAGCAATGGCATCCAACTTTGAATTACGTACGTCTCCACCCGAATTTGGGTATCTGGAATTTGTCTTATTATCTGTTTCATATGTCGTAAAGCATTTATGAGTTTTTGATTAAGAAAAATGAACGATTTCAAAGCGAGCAATGGCAACACTGTGCGAAAAACAACTCTTTTTATCTCCAGCGTGCGAGACTGTGTAACCGAAATTCTAAACATATGCTCATTTTAAAATTATTTTGCGATTTTACTGTTGAACTGAAATTTATGGTTTAAGTGAGAAGAACATGACATTTAATAAATAAAGGTAACACACAAAACGTTAAAAAAAAAAAACGCTTCCTTGGACGTAATATAAAATCTGAATTTTTTTTGACTTAATTTCGCGTTCTCTTGAAATTGCATGTTATGGTTTCTTCACCATAAAAATAAAAGTAAGTCATCGTATTCTCTTAATAATATCGCCATCTGAAATAGTAAACTCAGCTACATCACCAGTAAAATCCAAAACTTCTTTCTTTTAACAATTATTTTTGTAACGCTGAAATCTCTGAATCCATGCTTATACAGTCCAAATGGTATTTACAGCTCAAAAATACGTTCCAGTGTCTAGTCTCGTATTAACATTATAAGCCAGACACATAATCGTCTTCCTTATTCATTTTTATTGCAAAATCAAACGACATACGCAATCATATGATACGAGAAAGAACAGGCACAGTGCGACACCCTTTATCCTTAACCCTTTGCGGCACAGTGTATCCAATCTGAACACACCTAAAAATTTCCTTCTGTACGCACAGAAATATTCAATGAAAAAGGATTTATAGGTTACTATAGGTTACTCTGAACCTTCTTTATTTATAGTAGATGTCAGCTCAACACAAACCAGTCATATACACTCATGTCCATAAATTAAGGATAATGCAAAACCAGGCAAAGGAAGAGTTAGAAGCAAAACAAATTTGATTTATTTGTAAAGCTTATTTATTAAACAAAAGGTAAAGAGCAAAAAAAAGATGCTATATGTTTGATATTATTACAAAAATTAACGATTTTTTCTCCCTGGAGCAAATTACAAAAAAAAAACCTATTTACAAAAAAACCAATATTACATGGTTGGTATGATTGTTAATACATTCTACGTCTCCCAGACGATGCATTACAGTCCGTACAACGCCCAGGCATGCTGAGTATCAAATTATTGATCTGATCTTGGAAGATATTACACCACTCAAAAAGCAATGCTCTCGAAGTTGTGGAGGTAATTGCATTTATTTGCAAAGGTACTCCAGAAGCCAACGCCTTTGGCCTTGGGCCGAAGTTTCGGTAGATATGTAGGAGGAGGGTGACGGGCTGCAACTCGTCGGCCAAGCATGTTCCACACGTGCTCTACTGGATTCAAATCCGGTGAGAATGCTGGCCAGTCCATACGGGTGATATCCTCCGATTGAAGGCATTCGCTTACGATGTTTGCACGGTGAGGACGGGCGTTGTCATCCATAAACACAAATTGTGCTCCCATGGCGCCCCAAAACAAAGTGCATGTTGTTCCAGAATGACGTCCCGAGAGATTTGGTTTGTCAGGGTTCCAATTTGAACATGCAGGTCAGTTCTGGAACCCAGAATAATTCCACCCCAAACGAGCACTCCTGCACCACCGTAACGGCGTCGTTCAATGATGTTTTCTTGGTAGTAACGGGTACCTGGAGATCTCCATATGAAAATCCGGCGAGAATCAGACTGCAAGCTAAACCTGGACTCGTCGGAAAACATCACACAAGCCCACTGTTGCGGTGTCCACAATGCATGCTCTCTACTCCAGCCTAACCGCAGGCGACGGTGAGTTG